ACTAATCTATCGAATTGATAGCAGGAAAAATTTAAGTAAACTACTTACAGTTATGTTGCAAGATTTTAATGGTGGATTTTAGACACCCTCGAAGTGATCCTACTTGGTCTGCAGTTGAAATGGAAAGGAAGTAACTACTTTCCGTAAAGCAGTCTTGAACTCTCGGCTTCGGCAAATATACAGTAAAAATGTCATGGTTGGTACTACTGTTTTGACCGAAAAAGTACTTTTTCTACCCATTGTAGTATGGATATATACAAATATCGCATGCGAGAAATTTTTACATGTAGGGTTGCTTCGAGAACAGGAAATTGTATTTGATTTGTTCGAATGAAATAATGATAGTATATTTTGACAGACATTTGTTTGGAAAATGTAAAGAATAAAACTTTGGATTTCTTAATTTTAAGCTAGTTGTAGTGGTGGACATTACAAATGCTTTAAGGGCACTTGAGCTGACGAATAATGTTGGACGCCCCAACTAGGCTGGGTTAGATAGAAGCCTTGATAAGCAGCAGGGAAGGTTCTGCACAACGGCACAGCTGTACCAGTCTCGCAATCGCGTCTGTAGTCTGAAACCTTTAACTCAAACTTAGGCTAGCATATTTTCCCGATGTAATGAGGCCAGTTGGTGATAACTGCCTTTCCTAATCAGTAGCCAGCTAGGGTGCTAACCTTTGATTTAAGTGTTCGTTTTAGCCATGTCTGACGACGAACCAGATTTTCACCGACCCAGTTTCTTAGAATTTCTGCAACAAACGGCTGAGTAGTATTGCAGAACGACCATTCTCATAATTTTTACGCGTTGTTCAACTGAGTATCGCTCCATGACTAAGATGGCCAAAGCCAATAGTACCAATTGTCTGAGAAATAAAATAAAATAAAAAACCATTAAAATATTACACCCTAGATATGTATCAATTTTCAATATATCCATAATATATTTTTGCGAATAAATTTTCTTTTAACCATTTATCAATATTTTATAGCATTTTTAAAAAACAATATTTATTTTATTTTTTCAGGTGTTACTATTCTACTCTCGCTCACTGTCTTCCTCAATATGGTGGCTGAAACAATGCCCGCCACATCCGATGCCGTGCCACTCTTAGGTAAGCGAAAACTATTTTCCAATTCTTTTACATGCATTCTGAGTGTTCTTCTATGTTTATTTGCTGCGAAATGAATGTAGCTAATTTTAGTTTTGAAGAAAATATTTACATACATCTATTTAAAACACTATAGAAACTTATACATTATTTTATTTACACTTTGAGGTTTTCAAGTAAATTCAAGCACACTGCATACCATGAAACTGTAGAATATTAACAGAAATTTTTAGCAGAAGCCACAAAAGTAAACCTAAAAAAATTTCCAAAAAAAAAAGAATTAAATATTAAAAAAAAAAATATTTTGAAAACTCCTGCCATACCAGTTAATTTCACACCTCATTTCCACACCTTTAACAGTACAGTGTTAATGCTAATCTCTTATATAAGCAATTTTAACTCACATGGTACTCGAATCTCTACATACATACATATATGGTATACTCTCAAATCACACACATGCAAACAAATAGCATTTGCTATCCTCCGTTAACTGTCGTTCTCGCTGTAGCTTTGTCGTTGTATAATTTTCGTGTTTGGTGTGTTTCCAGTTAGGCGTTGCGCCGTTTTACGCTGCGCGCCACATTAATATCTACTAAATAAATATATTCATGCCTAATCAAGCATTTCAACCAAAAAATATATATATATATACATACATATATATAAAAAAAAATAACCGATGATTTTATAATATTAAAACTTTGACACGTTAAAAAGTTAAAACTCCAAGCAAATAAAAACAATCAACAACAGCCTGGGCAATACTTTAAGTTGTGCGGCCGTTTCAAGCTTAGCGCTCGCAAAAAAAGTGAAACGAATTCACACAAAAAACAAAAAAAAAATAAAACAAGTTAAGCTTGCTTCGCGCCGCGCAATACAGCTGTTGAAAATTAAAGAAGGATTTAAAATTACAAAATAATACATATACGTTGCAATTATATGCGCCTTTTTTTGTGTTAACTCATATTTAGCAGTAAATTAATATATGCACCGCCACAGTTAAAAACTCAGAAACTTTCATGCAGTTTAATCAATTTTGACTCATAGCGCAAAAAAAGCGAATAAAAATTAGGCTAACAATTTTAGTTTGGAAATGTTTTCTGTTTTTTTTTCTCTCTTTCACATAAAAAAAAATATATAAAAAATTAATAAAGAAACATATTCATTATCCACTTGCATCCACTTTTTGCTTTCCCATCTTTTTTAATCGGTTTCATCGCAGAACAGCACATTTTGCAATTTTTTGCACGTTTTCTTATAACTACTACAAATATATTTGAATTTAAAATTAATATAGATGTGTATTTTTAAACCTACCTATTAATAAAATTTATATACCTATGTATATTTACACATACATATCTATAGTATGTTTTTAAACTAAATATTAATAAAAATAAAATTAGCAAGTAAAATTATTTGTCAAATGGCAATGAAATTGGCTAGAAAATTGTTGGCATTTAAGTTTGAAAGCTGTCTGTTTAACTTACTTCCGGTCTACCAAACATTATAATATATCGACTTTCATTTAAAACTGCATTTGCTATATTAAAGTAACGATATGTGCATTACAAATTACATCAACTTTAAACTTGTACAAAGGCGATGACGTATCAAATTGGCTAAGTATTTCGCGTCTTTTTACCCCAATGCCTCTTTTCACATTCTAACCGCCTGCGAAACATAAGCCGCCTTCACTTTTCTGCTGGTTATGTTTGATTTCCGCTCGCTTAGTGAAACATTTCGCATGTGAAGCCATCAAAAAAAAGTTAGCTAGCGACTATGGATGATAGCGAGTTTGGGTGAACCTCATTGAATTCGTTCGTTTCGCCACTCGCTAACTATTGGCGAATCGATAACGGCTATAGTATATTGAAGGCGTTACTGTCATATCCGTCAAATGTAGGATAAAATGATGGATTTAAACTGCGCATAAAGTGAGCCAATAACATTTTGGTATGTAACAAAGGAAGTAATTAAATATCGACGCCTTTTATTTAGGTTGCATACCGTTGGCCGGTCAAATCCCTAACGAAGTCCTTTAATTGGTGGGTGTCGAAGTCATTTGGTAGGGATTTCGGTAGCAAGAATACATGTCTGTATGGCAACATTGCTCTCGCTCCCATGATACTCAAAAAATTACATCTAAAAAAAGAGCGCTTAAAAACTCGGGTCAAGAGTCATAATTTCGGACAATTTTTATGAAAAGGTGGATTTACTTCTCACCTTAAAAGTAAAATTAGTAATGGAAAAACAAAATACGCTAAGTTTTGGATTTTTTTTTTTCTACCGTTCCCGCCTGAGAGAGAAAACACCGTTTGAGCTTATCGGAGCTGGAATTATACTTGCCCGTTTTCCATTTGCTTGTGCGACAATTGCATTAGGAATGCGACTTTTCTAAGTACACTGGTTTACAGCAAAAATGTTCTATGGAGGTCGCTATCCAATTCCTATGTAGAATTGCTCGGTGATTCTGAAAATCGAGATAATTTTTTTTCTATGGTTACCTTTTCGAGTTATTTGCAATTTACCGTTATACAGCTTTAAAAAATTGTGATTTCACTTAATCACGTACTATGCATATCTTGTGAACTAATTGAATAAAAGAATAAAATAAAACAGGGTTACTACATACGCCACGTTCATCTGAGTAGGTAGAGTGTTTACATGGAAAACAGGAAGTGTCAGAAATGGTTAATTAATTTCTCAGAAACTATCAGGGCTATCGAAAAGTGATGTATGTATATACGGTTTATGGAGAATCTAATTTTATTACATTTGCCGTATCTCATATTACGATTATTTATTGGGTTCATAAGACCTCTTTATATGGAACCACTCTTTTTTTTAAGCCGAATAACGGTAATATATCGAAAACGTATCCACACAAAAAAAATAACTTGATTTTCGGAATAAGGGAGCGCTTCTACAAAATTGGATAGTGGCGTGAGTACAAAATCAAAATTAAAATTTGTGATCCATTGGTATTAATCGAAAGAGAGTAGCATGAAGGTATCGGAAATTACCTGAGATCACTAAAGTTAAATAAGTTTTGTTCAACACTTGTAAAATGAAATTAATGATTTTTAATTTTGATATATAATCAAATACAACTAAAAGTTTCTGGAGCTAAAAAGGTTTTAGATCATTTTCAAAAGGGCCAAAAAAAAGACCTAGGAGCTAAAGCCCAATTTTCGGAGCTAAAGATAAAAATAAAGAGCTCAATCTAGCTCCAAAAGCACCAAAATGGCGACACTGGTCTCTTTTGCTCATCTAACTTTCCTTACTCAGATGTGTCGGTGCTTAACGTGACTACCTGCTAAATTGACTTAACATCGCGATGCTCCTAAGCACAACGAATCAATTCAAATGCCTTTATCAGGGCATGAAATGCAAACACTTTAGTACCAATTGGCAGTGTGGTGTGAACATACTAACTAAAGGCTCGAGGCCCATAATAACTATGGTCCGGGACCCGATTTCAATGCAACTCCACATTGCACCATTGCTGGTTCTACCCGCATATCTTGGGGGACCTTTCATTACTCAGTAGTTTTAATCGTTGATCAACTCAATAAAACAGCAGTAAGCGCTCCGTGAGCAATCATTTTATTTATGCTCTTAGTTTAATGCGCCGCTTGCTTGGTTGTTTCTTCAAGATTAGCTCTTTCCTCTATTTCCAGTTTCTGAATAAAAAATTTCGCATAAACACCTTGACGGTTTTGTGTTTTAAAAATTTTTTTTTTTTTTNCTCTATTTCCAGTTTCTGAATAAAAAATATCGCATAAAAACCTTGACGGTTTTGTGTTTTAAAAATGTGGTGATAAATATTTTCGCATCACTTTAAATCTGTCATTAATACGAATAAACTCTTGAATTACATAAACCAAAAGAGGCTCAAAGGTTTCGGAAAGGGTTATAGTTAGACTTTACAAAGGTTGAATTATAGAAACTAAACTATACTAAAAAATTTAATGCCTATATTTTCTTGTAGATTCTTAAAGAATGGAACAGGGATATTGCGCTAAGAACCAAAACTTTGAATTTTTAGCGGTAATTGGCAAAGATCTTTTGAACAAATTCGCGAATTTTAATGTGTCGGAAATAATTTGAGTTATTATTGTAGATTGGCTTTAGTTAAGACTTATCTATGGGGTTAATTAAGATATAAATTTTTTTTTTTCAACCCAGAAAAAATGGAGCGAATTTTAAAAAAAAGTCTGAATTCGGTAAAAATTAAAGCTCATTTTTTAGTTGTCATATATCTCGGCTCAAAAGCTATACTTCAAAGGCTGCACAGCTGGTGTTGATAACATAGGTTAAAATATTACATAACCCGAGACCAGTTTGTACTCTTCCGGCCTTAGAATTGCTCGATTACCTCAGATTCTCGAGATACTCAAACCTAACCATACAAAAAAAACTAAGGTTGTGGCTAGGTTAGGTTAAGTTATTGCGGCAGATCCCACAGTGGGGTCTCACTTAGACATTATTTAGATTGTCTATTGTGTTACCACATTATACAAATTCATTGTACAGGTTCTCTATACTACACTAAGAGTGCTGCTAAGTGCTGGGTGGTTAAAACAATATTCCGCGGGCAGCTGATTTCCACTCCCCTTTTCGGGAGTGTCAATGAAATTAGCTGGATTTGAAAGGCTTCCTAGGTGGTTGAGGAAGAGGTCAAGCATTTCCCCACCAGTTTTTATCGTACCATTAGCGATTACAGCGTGTGCCTCTTAGTCGGCAAAACATTGGTGCATACCACCTCTGCTTGACAGTAGACACCTCCTCCAACTCTCACGTTCAGCTTCGATCCGTCTGCGAAGATGTTTATTGGACCTCTACTACAGAGACTACCCTTCTCACATTCGGCCCTTGGTGCGATGTGAGTGGAAAGAATTTTGTTATATTCGCATTTATACAGCTCGATGCGACAATTGAATCTTTCCTTCTCGTTTATTCTGATTTTTTTTATTTATTAATTTTTTTTTGTATCGAAGATATCCTCCTTTGAAGTTTACGATTTTAGAAAATATACATATTTTTCGCCACATAAATGCTTTGAATTAAAATTCAATGTGTTCAGCGGGTAGCAGGATAACAATAAAATAACCCTACATTAAAAAACTTAAATGCCAACATATCCAAATTTACGAAAAAAAAACAGAAGGGAAATTAAATAATAAACTTATAATAAATATTTTTTTAATATATTTCCATTAAAACCACAAATGTTGAAATTGTTGTTCTTGAAATTGTTTACAAAATAAATTTTACTAGTTACTTATGTATGAGTCTTAAATTTGCAGCTCGCTCCACTCTATATATCATACTGCCTTACTCTCTTATAAAATTTAACATCTGTACAATACAAATTTCAAAAAAACATCTTTCCACTTTTATATAAATACTTCTTAGGTGAATTATTAATTCTTAGATTAAAGACAATTACAAAATTGTGCTTAAAAAAATGTATATTCATTCTCATACCACACTTACCTACATAGACCTATTTATCATACATATTTTACGCAAAATTCGTGTTGAAATTTGTTGAAAAAGTAAAAGTTGAATATTTATTCTCAAAAATCAAAACAGGCATTTGCTCTACTAATGTAAAATTTTTGTATATACTTTTTCTTTATTCTTCTTTCTATTACATTTCTTCGCTAAACAAAAACATAAAACTAAACCTCGTGACCACTACACAACTGCCATAACAAAATACAACCACTGAATGTCACTGTTACGCCACTTATAAATAATAATGAAAACTAAACACTATATACCGCAATATTAATTTAAAAAAAAATAAAAATCTGCATTTGTTACGCCAACTTTTTTGGTGACACTGTAAAATACANGTTAAATAATAATGAAAACTAAACACTATATACCGCAATATTAATTTAAAAAAAAAAAAAAATCTGCATTTGTTACGCCAACTTTTTTGGTGACACTGTAAAATACAACTTCGCCTTGAAATACGCTCTTTTTCCTTTTTAAAAAATAAATGCAAATAACTGAATTAAATTTTTTTCTGCGCGCCTATATATTCCTTTAATTACATTTTCTTTGTGAAATTTCAAAAATGTTTAATTTTCTTTTTGAATTCGGTTTTCGAAAAAAAACAAAAAAACTAATTTCGAATTCTCTAATCCTTTACGCTGCACTTATCAAACCAATACAACTACAAATAATTTACCTTTCATTAAAACCAAATTGTCATAAACAAAAACCAAAAAAAATAAAAAATAAAAAATTGCGAAAAAATATGAAACTCACACGCCCAACCAACCAACAGGTACATATTTCAATTGCATAATGTTTATGGTAGCTTCATCCGTTGTGTCAACGATTTTAATATTAAATTATCATCATCGAAATGCTGATACGCACGAAATGTCCGAATGGGTAAGTTTTGTTAATGCAACAACAGCAAAAACTACTACTACTACTACTACTACTACTACTACTACTACTACTACAAGTACAAGTACAAGCAACATTCATTCATTTAATCAATCAATCAATCAGTCACACGAAAGTGTTATAAAAAAAATGGTAATAGGGATCCAACTGATACAGTCAACAAAAAAAAAACGAAAATATTTTTGTATGTTAAGTAGACGCGTAAACGCCCAAAAGTATGCAAATTTATGCGTATATAGTATACTTTTCGCCTACTTTTTGTGTTTACGCCTAAATGTATGCTCGTATTTTGTGTTATACTGTGTTTCAATTTCAGTTTGCTTTTTATGGTTGTGCTCCTAGTCATTTTCTATAATTATTTTGAAATTTTTTTTTTATTTATTTGTTATCAACTTGTTCTTACGTGTTGTTCTTGTACACAAATGTGTTTCAAATTAAAGAGTTTTGAGCAAATTTTTCTATACGCATAATCATTTTGAGCGGGCAGATCTTTTTGCTCCGAAAAGTATGCCATATTAATCACTCACATATCTGAATGTCTGTGAAGTTGGCATACGGTATGATGCAAAAAGACAAAATAAAAGCTGTTCTGAGTAGCTTTTCAATAGTCCTACAGTTCTTGAAAAAAAAAAAAAAAGTTATGGATATTTTGACAACAAAAAATTGCTTCGAAAATTGTGTATGCCAGATTCACGCAGCATACGACATGTGGCAAAAAAACAAATACAAAATTGTTCTGAGCAGCTTTTCAATAGTTCTAGAGTTCCTGAAATGGAAAAAAAATCTGCAAAATTAAGCCGAAAAAGACATGTTTTTCGAAAACGTCTAAAATGTTAAAATTTTGAAAAAAGAAAAAATTAAATCTGTTCTGAGTAGCTCTTCAATAGTTCTAGAGTTCCTGAAAAGGAAACAAAAAGTTCTGCAAAATTACGCCGAAAAAAAACACGTTTTTCGAAAAAGTCGAAAAAGTTAAATTTTTGAAAAAAACTAAAATAAAAATTAAATCTAGCTACTCAGAACAACGACCAAAAAGGAAATTTTCTTTTTTAGTTTTGCATCATACCGTATGCCAACTCCCCACACATCATATCTGAGGCACGAAATTCATTCGCCATAAGTCATTATTGCCTTTTCCGCGAGCATATGCCCAAAGTAGGAACTCGTTTAGTGCTTTATACTCAGAAAAATAAATATTATTGGATAATAATTATCTGGACTGACACCTAGGCGACTGTGCTCTAAAACTTTCGCTTGTTCATCAAATGCCATTTAAGTTCCCTCTTTCATATTTCGCTCTTAATGTGCCCTCGGGCCCAATTAGGTATTTATGAAATATAAAAATTATTCTATTCTGACATACAGAAAACCCTTAAGTTTCCAAAATTCTCGCATAGTCAAGGAGACCCAAGAAAATAATTTTACAAATATTTTGCACTAAAAACCTCAATCATGCCTGTATTGCTCTGCATACTTTTAAGCGCGCCGCAGCAAATTTCACCATCATATTCGAAGCCACTTCTATTCAGCAGTCTAGCTTACTTAACTTCTCCTTCCACTTTTTAAAATGTCCTTCATTTTCTTTAATTTAATTTCATCATTTCATATAATATTTTTTTTTATGTATCTCTGCCTCCTGCCATTATATTTGTTTGTATTGTTGTTAGACATACATACATATACACATTTAGTGTACCCAAAGAAAAGAAGAAAAACAAGATGAAGAAACAAATTTTCATAGCTGTCATCAACGAAAAAAAAAGAATCAAAAGCAAATAAGTACCTAATGCAAAAAAATCGCTCGCTATTTTGTGTGTGTATTTTTTATGTGTTGTCGTTAAACGTCCACTGCCTACTATAAATGTAATTTATGTAATGAAAAATATCGTAATGTTGATGTTGGGCCCCTTTCAGTGAAAAAAAGAACAAACAAAAAAATAAAAAATAAATTTACAGTTGCGTAAAATTACAAACCCATATTTGTGTGTCGCCGCTAGTAGTGTATGTGTGTGTGCGCACACTCTCTTTGGTGGGTGTGCGCGCCCAGTGCAACACAGAGCCAGCAACATCGCCACTGTAGTGTTACGATAAAACTATAATCCGTTTTTTACACGGCATAGATTTTTTTTTAGCCACTAATGGTTTTAAACTGCTAATAAATATACATACATTTACATGCATAGTAGTTAATAACACCAAACTATTTTATTTATTTATAAGTTCACCGTGCTTGTAGTTGATGTTTGTATAACGCAAGCATAATTCTAGGCGCGCTGACTTATGTTCACACATACACGCATACATACTCTGCTTGTACTTTTCGTGCTTCTTACTAGTTAATATGAGTAGTCCTTTTTTTGTAATTAGGCTATCCGCATACATACATATTTACTAGTAATTGTTTATGCGAAACGTTTTTTATTTAATTATGTAAATACTATTATAAATTTACTATAATCTATAATTAAACTACTAATTTATTTATGCCCTCAAAATGCATATCCGAATTACATCTAATGAAATTAGTATAAGTTTTTCAAAAATATGACTGTGTGCCTATTTTTTCCCTTCATCGACCTGTTTTCGATTTATGGGCATATGGAACCAGCTCAAGCAACATAAAGCTTAATTACACTGTAGGCAAAATGTAAGCCGCCGAAGCATGTAAACTAAATATGTAGGATCGTAGATTATGTATACCGTTTTTCTAGATCACATAATTTTCGCAATGTATTTTCATTTCTTGTATGAAAAATTTAAACTTTAACAAGGAAAAAATTTAATAATTTAATTGTACAAACAAATATTTTTAAAGCAAGCCTTCTAAATATGAACGAAATCGAAACCATAAATACTTATTTAACAAATATATCGACTCGTGCGCCACCTATCGACAAAATCTTTAGTGGAGTTATTTCTTTTCATGTAGTTAATATACGCTCCAAATATGAACCAAATCGGACTATAAATAAGGGGTTTTCAACTATGTCGACTTCTGCGTCACCTATCGGATTAACTTATCTTCCGTATTGCATTATCATCGGGTTCTGAGCCAACTGTGAAGTGTCAAGTCTCTAGGTCATTGGGAAGTTGGTCAAAAATTTATTGCAAAATTTGCCCCCTAACAAATATACATACATACAGAGCAAGTTAAGTTAAGTAAAAGCTTGTAAATACTAACACCTATTTTACAATTAGTTTCATTTGTATTACAGCCAATTCATTTGCTAAAAAATTTTAGCTACTAACAATGAAAATCGATAAGTTAATAATAAGTTTAAGTTAATAAAAAAAAACTTTCTTATTTATTTAATAACTTACAGCGCTCTTACGCGATATTTATTTGCATATGTATTAAAATGCTACCTTTTTTATCTACTCGTATGTACCATACATATATTGGAACGTATCAGAAAAGTCGCATTTATATAGACAAATACATATCGTGTAAGAGCGCTATTAATACATGTCGAACCCTAACAGCCAAAGAATTAGCTGACATTTTTTTTTTTAATCTTTTTGATGCAGAACATTGATATGTATGAACAGGTAGGATAATCCCCAATCCAAAAATGGATCCGAAAAAGTAAAAACCAAGTGGATGAAATGCTGATTTTTGTCAGTTTACCGATTCCATTTTCGGATACTTTGACGATCCGCTTTTCGACTAAAGTGTGTGGCAGAAACGTATGTACAGACAAGAACCGAAAATTGTTTTGAAATAGATACGTTTTGTGGCTGTTTTTCTGAAATTTTTCTTACTGTCTTCAAAATTTACATACGTTTCCCTGCTAGCTGGGAAGTCGTTGTTTTTTCCTCGCCTTTCCTATTGACATGGCAATTATCCCTGACTGCTGGGTATTGTGTAAANCGTATGTACCATACATATATTGGAACGTATCAGAAAAGTGGCATTTATATAGACAAATACATATCGTGTAAGAGCGCTATTAATACATGTCGAACCCTAACAGCCAAAGAATTAGCTGACATTTTTTTTTTTTAATCTTTTTGATGCAGAACATTGATATGTATGAACAGGTAGGATAATCCCCAATCCAAAAATGGATCCGAAAAAGTAAAAACCAAGTGGATGAAATGCTGATTTTTGTCAGTTTACCGATTCCATTTTCGGATACTTTGACGATCCGCTTTTCGACTAAAGTGTGTGGCAGAAACGTATGTACAGACAAGAACCGAAAATTGTTTTGAAATAGATACGTTTTGTGGCTGTTTTTCTGAAATTTTTCTTACTGTCTTCAAAATTTACATACGTTTCCCTGCTAGCTGGGAAGTCGTTGTTTTTTCCTCGCCTTTCCTATTGACATGGCAATTATCCCTGACTGCTGGGTATTGTGTAAATGAACAGTATTGTCAATTAAAAATATAATGACATTTTATTTAACATGGTTGTTTTCAGTTGCAAAACAAAGTAAATTTAATTTTCTTTAAGGAGCTAAGAAGCGAATGAAATTTTGTAGCTTTCTTCTCCAGCTACGCTCAGCCAAAATCCTTTGCTCCTTAGCTCCTTTCCCCTTTACGCCACTCCGCTCCGAAGGCCTGATTTTTAGTGTAAAGTTCATCTGTTGGTTTAAATCAGTGGCGAACATAAAGATTTTTTGTTCTTGACCGTCTCAAGCACCATATGGAAAATTTTTTAAGTCGGAAAAAGCCACGCACACTTTAAGGGGATTTAGGGGATTTTGACGGGGCTTAAGCAGGCTAAACGGAATGTGTATACCAATTTTTGTGGAGATCGGCGAGTGGTTTTCATGATATGTTCACCCACTTGATATGGGTGGTGGGTGGGCAATTTGACGAAAAAACATTTTTTTGCTAAGGGCCATTGTATGTCCCTTTCAGTGTCGAAAAAAATTTTACGGTAAGCTAACAATCTAAAAGTTTGTATATCAGGAAAAGTCAACCCCTTGAAGGTGAGAACATTTTTTTGTTTTTGTGGATAGATAATTTGACAGGGCACCTCG